CTAAGTGTGCATATTTTCTCCTCCAAAAGGTGTGTGCTTTTCAGCATGACATCTCAGATGCTGTGCAGAGGTTGCTGCAGCAGTGAGTGTCACTGAACTCCTTCACCTTGTGCCCCTGAAGCTACCGTAGAATCCCAGCTCAGCTTATGGTCCCCAAAAGCCAAGGTGAAGATGATGATGTTTCTTTGAGGAGAGCTGCCAGTTCTGCCCATGATGCAAATACAGACTGGAAAAGGCAGGAGCCCTGTTCACATAGGGAACCATAAAGTCCTGGAGCACTACACAGAGAGCCAGGCATGCAGCCTACACCATTGCCTCCAGGATTGGGGCAGCTGGGAAGAGAACACGAGGCTGTAGCAGTGGTGGTCCTAGCACTGCAGAAATAAATATCAGCTCTATTGTTGCCAAGCTGTCTGTTAGGGCTGGGGAGTTGTGAGATATGCGGTGTGTGAAGCTGGGAGTGTAATCTCCTCTCAAATATTTGGATAACGGTTGGTGCCTCCAGTCAGCCACTGAAATTAAGATAATGTGGCTGGGAGACTCCATCAGGACCAGGAACTGTAGCTGCTTTCTATGGCTTTACTGCAACCATCTAAACCCACCTCTGTGTGTGCTAAAGGGGCAGAGTGCAATACTGTTTGCCACTTCAAACTGGCAACATCAGTAGGGTTCATGTTTTGAACCTTTATTTCTATACAATGGCAGCAATCATATGTGGGGAGAGCATGACGATGGGCTGAAGAAAGTGCTCTGGTTGCTGAGGAAGATGATATCTGAAGGGAGCTGAGTACATCTCAGGGGCCAAGTGTGTTGGCAGACCCAACAGGCTTGTTCCCTTTGGTCTGGGACTGCATCTTGGTTTTTGTTGTGCTGACCTCTTGTTGCTTTGGTTGGATGGACTGGATGTGCTTTGCACTGGAAGGAGGATGCGTTTGCTGCACTTCTTGGCAAGCACCAGTGAGGTGAAGAAAAAGTCCTAGCTCCATTTAGCAGTAGTGTTGCAGTTTCTGCACATGAGTTAGGGCTGGCTCAGCACGGCCCACGGGTGGCTTTCGGTGATCTCCTAAACCCCTCAGCAAAAGCCTGTTGAGTCACTTGGGAGCAATGCAATAGAAAGCTGATAACAGCAGCAGTCTAGAAATAGATCTGAAGGGATTGGGTTTTTAAACTGGTGACTAACTTGGACAAGGCTTAGCCAAGCTTGAACTGGTTATGTCCCATCAAATTCAGCCACAGATGATTCAGCTCCAGTGCAGAGCTGAAGTCTGCGTGGTCCTACATCTCCATGCTGCAACACATGCTGGGCCTCCCTGCAGTTTTGGAGCCCATCTTCTAAAACTGGAGCCGTCTTCTGAAACGGCCAGGGGCCAGGGGCCTAGTGAGGCCACCTCCCAGCATGTCAGGAGCCACAGCCCACCCCTGCCCGCTCCTTTCCCAGAGAGCAGAGGAATGGGTTCATGGCCTCTCGCCCAGCCCGGCTCACCCCGCTGTGGGCCAGCGCTCCTTGCAGGCAAGGTGGTCACCCTTGCTCCTGCGGCCGCTTTTTCCCAACAGCCACTGCATGACTCAGAGGGGATTTAGTCAGGGCTGGGGGAGGGAAAGACGTTAAACAGGCTTTTCCCTAATGAGGTGTGACGCCAGCTGGAGAGGGGGAGAATCCTGCTTTTCTCCTGTCTCTTGCTCTCTCCAGCTACCCGAGGAGGAGGAGATGTGTCCCCCCCTTCCTCTGCTGATTTGCTGCCTCTTCTGTTTCCTTTCTGTTCTGTCCCCAAAGCATTTTGGCAAGGTTCAGATTTCTGCGCTCACAGCTCAGTGCTCAAAGAGAAAAGGGAAAAACAAAAGGGTTGCAGGCGCAGGGGGGAGGGATGGTGGCAGGGAGGAAGCCCAGAGCCCGTCTGGAGCACAGGGATGGGCGCCCAGGGGCAGGCCCTGCCATGAGGACTGAGGCTCGGTGGCCTCTTTCTCCTGAGAGTCCCTTACCCTGCTTCATTCACCATTCTATGGACTTTGTGGGCTGCTGGTGGAGGGGATGGCTGGGAAAACAAGGTTAAATCCTCCTCCTCCACAACCTGGGCTGAAGCAGTAGGTGCAAACCCAAGAGGATCCCAATTCTGTGATCCAGAAATGTTGAGATCTACATGTCACGCTCCCTGGTGTTCCCACAGCACCTTGTGCATGTGGGGAAAGTCCTGCACTCAGATGCTCTGGGGCAGAAAGCATTGCACCTAGGTACAAAATGGTGCTGAACTGAATGGGGCTCAGAAAGCTCCAGGGAGACCTTGCTGTGGCCTTAGAGTACATGAAGGAGCTTACAAACATGAGAGAGAACATTTTACATGGCCTAGTAGTGATAGGACCAGAAGCGGGGAGATTTAGGTTAGATGTTAGAAACAAATTCCTTATTCAGGAGGCAGTGAGGCCCTGGCACAGCTGCCCAGAGAAGCTGTGGTTGCCCCATCCCTGGAGTGTTCAGGGCCAGGCTGGATGGGGATGGGGCCCTGGGCAGCCTGAGCTGCTGGGTTGCAGTCCTGCCCATGGCAGGAGTTTGGAACGGGATGGTCTTTAAAGTCCCTTCCAGCCCGAGCTATTTTGTGCTTCTATGATTCTCTGACCTTTCACTGGGAAAGTACATCTCGCTACTCCTGCCCTATCAAAAGCAGCAACCCAAGAGAAGTAGACCAGAGCTTGATAGACAGTATCAGTATCTTTCTCCAAGGCTTTACAGGACAGCATGTCCTTATCTTTTTCCTGGATGAATGGCCACCCCGGACAAATAACTACTGCAGAAGTGACCAAGGGGAAGCAGGGGAGGCTACTCCACCCTGTGTGCCCATCCTCACCCTGCATCTCAGGAATGTCCCTTATCTCCCCGAGCGACCTGCAGGCTCCCAAAATGTAAAGGTCACTGCTGGGCCTGGAGAACAATCGCTTGCAATACAGGACTATCTGAGGGGATTGTGGCTGCTGTTTAATGAGTGCTAGTCAAACAGCAGGCTGAAAGGGCTCACGGGAAGCAATTTAAATATCCCTTCCTACAAAAGGCTGTCACATCCCAGCAAAGGCAGGCTGGTGACTGACGGCTTTAGTGCACAAGTGTACTATGGGTGAGGGAAAGGGGGAGGGATATCCTCAATTGGAGGCTTACTGTTTTACCCTTTCCTCTGACTCCTCACATTTCATTTTTTACAAGGTCCCTGTGATAACCTACCTGAACATTTCTGGAGGTGTCTGAGCACATTGCATACTTTTTTTTCTTTTCTTTCTTTCTTTTTTTTTTTTTAAGTTATTCTTCTCTCAAGTGTGTTTTGTTAGAGGGCAGATGACTGCCAAAGTCCTTCACAAACAAAATAAGTCAATGCCTCCAAAATACTAGCTGATTACCAAGAGAATTCACTTGGTGATTATTATTTACATAGCATGATTGCTGTTTATATAGCAATAACATCACTCCATCTGAGTGATGGCAAGCAGTAACTGTACTTTTTGCATCAACTTCTCATTAGGCAGAATAGTCATCTTGAGGCCAGAACTGAGATTCCTGGGACATTTTCTATCTCGCAGCAGGATGCTGTGTTAGGCTTAGGCTGCCCCTTGTTCTTTCTCTGCCTCAAGATTTCCTGTAATAGATGTGTTTAATACATTCTTCACAGGGCAGGTGTCAGGCTTCTGCTTATGAAGCACTCTGGGTACTCTGCCAAAGGTAAATAAGAGTAGTGTTCATAATGAAAATATGCTATTAATACATTTCCACTAAAAAAAAAATCTATAAACAGCATTTAATCTGCAATCTATTATCAATAATTTTATTACTGTCATTACTGAGGTCTAATAAAAAAGCATTTTTCTTCTTTATTGGGTAAGTGCCAAAGTGTTTATCCTTTATTCTCTGGTCATTAACCTTTATTCTATGGCCATTAGCTTAGCCGTTTGTGTCTGTTGAGTAGCATTCAAGTAGGAGTTTGTATTCAATCCATTATTTACTCTGAAACTCAAAAAGAATAGCTTCTTATGGCTCCGTTATTTTTCAATGTCGAATCTTGTTGCTAAGTTAACTGCTGATGATCACTCTAGTAGTAATTGGATTTTTCATACTGTGAGTAATTTTCTGGAAAATGAACACAACTGTAGCTAACTCAGTGACATTTTGAAAGTAAAGCTTGAAATCTCTTGGTGAAAAGCACACGTTCTGCACACAATAAGAGACCAGGTGATCGGTTGGACTAGATGTTCCTAAAGGTATTTCCAACCTTAATGATTCTACGATTCTGTGAAAATACCAAATATCTACATTTCAGAATTTTATCTTTTTTATCAGTGAGTTTATGCAGCACACCTTTATGCAACCTCTACTGTGCTGAAATAAGCTGTAATACTCTCCACTGCTCTGTCAGGGGTTGAGGGTTGAGGGTGGGGTCGTGAGGTTGGACATCCCTCCATTCCTTCTTTCTACCTTCTTGAAAAAAAGTGAAGAGAAATCAATTAAAAACAGGCATTTTGATTATTTTCTTTGAGGCGTTTTTTTCTTGCTAGCTTTCAGCCTTTTCTGCCTTCCTGTCTAAAATTCCTCTTTATGAGTGGCTATTTGGGCCATACTTAAATGAACTCACTAGTCGTAGTGAGTAGAAAATAAAGAAGAATGAAACTGCTGATTCATGCCCATCGGTAGAACACAGGAGAAATCATGGATTTCTTATTAGACCATAGCATCTTAACCTGACTGAACCATATTTTTCTGTTTCCAGAGGAAAGCTGAAGAGTGTCATTCAGTAAAACCCTTTCAAGGTCCTCATGTAAACTCTTGAAGTGAAGAAGTGGTAGTAGCAGTGTTCTTAATGATAGGGACGTTTGGCTTACCCCGTGTATGCCTTCCTCCTGTACATGTACTTTAGGCTGCTTGGCTCTTCTTGGTCCTGATAAGCTAACAGTATATTTTGAGGAATTAGTTTGATGGCTGGATTTTTTTTCTCTTTTTTTTTTTTTTTTTTTAACTCATTAGGAACTGGAAGCTGCTCTTCACAGGGATGATGTGGAGTTTATCAGCGACCTGATCGCCTGCCTTCTTCAAGGTTGCTATCAGCGCAGAGACATCACGTGAGTAACCTCGCTCCGTGGCTTAAGTGCTTTGCATGGGAGCTAATTAACAGTCACAGGGATGTTTCACAGCTTTGGAGTGATGACATAGCAGTGACCAGCAGTCACTAGCAATCAGGCTAGATTCTTCACTAAGTGGAAGGGAATTCCAGTTCTTCAAGGGCTGAGTTGCAGGTTGTTGATTTGATGGGCCCATTGTTAAGCAAACTTCTTTGGGAGAAAAAAATATTCAGATCCCATGCAAATCTGTTTAATGTTCTGCTGTGGTGCTAACACATACAGAGAACGTCTGCTTTTGTGTTCCAAACTCTTATTTGGTCAGTTTAGTAATACCACAGTAAATGTTTAAATCATCACACATTTGAGGGATGTGGTTTAGTGGGTATGGTGGTGATTGGTTGATGGTTGGACTAGATGATTTTAGCGGTCTTTTCCAACCTTAATGATTCTGTGATTCCATGTTTTCAATATTTTCTATGCATTGCTTAGAATAAAACTTGCTGTTCCACAAGCCATTTCACTTGCATGGAAGACCCCACTGCTTTACAGAGAAAACTGTAATTTTCTTGGAAATAAGAGGAGCATTGGAAGCAGTTCAGTTGCAGAATGCTGGAAAGTGCTTTCACATGTCTCTGGATGTTGAAACATCAAGAGTACACTTCATTAGTATCCACGTAAAGTAGCCTTCTGACAAGAGACTGCTGTCTCATTTCATCCATTTCATCCATTCTTTGGATGATCACTGCTCCCACAATGGAATGTGCTCCCAGTGATAACAGTGCTCTTTATTTGTTCTTCTACCACGAATCATGTTAATAAGAAAGCATAACTGAGGAGAAAAAGACAACTTGGCAACAGCTGCTGTTGCTTAGAAGAGGTACTTAGGCAAATACATAGGCATAACCACAGGTGCTTGTACACTATTTTTAATCAACTGATAATGTTTATGTGTGTGTGTATGTGTATATATGCCCCAAAAGTATGTTTTCTTGCACTGCTGCTTTGCCAATGGGCCCATGTTCATTTTGGGACCTGAACAAGGCAACTGTACTGTGTGTAGTGTCTCTGAAAGAAATTGATGTGGTGAGAAGCTTGATCGTAAAGTGACTACAATAACATACACCTCCTTCATCAAAGTAGTCACAGAGCAATGTGCAATCCTGCTTATAAACTTATAACACCAACTTTATTTGTTCGTGCTGGAAACACTGGAAGTGTAGTTCCAGTGTGTAGTTCAAGTGTTTTGCATGCCTTCAATCTGTTCACCTTTGTGAAACAGAGGAAGATTTGTCTTTGCTAAATTGGATGAAATCAGCATTCTGAGGTTCTCCTAAACTCTCAAGACCTAAGAGTGTTCACTTAACAGTTGCACTCTTTAACTGACTCCCCTTTCTCTGTTATTTTAATTAAGAAAAATCAGGCATGATTCATGAGTGAGTTGTTGGCACGCTGTTTGTCTTTTGGGGGGCTTTGCACATGTACACGTGCACATTCACTCACATACAGTAACATGACTCACCTGGCAGCTCAGCAGTGTGTACGGATTCAATATTGTGTATAGGTACCAGTTTGTGTGCATGTAAATACAGGCTTGCTTAAGTCTGAGCTGCAAAAGATAAAACGAGGTAATGCCACTGCAGAAAAAAGAAGTGGTAAGCCAAGCATGTTTTTGTACAGCCTAGTACCTTCACAACTGTTGCTCTCTCTATCTGCATATAAGAGGTGATGTGGGAAATAGAGAGCTTACACCTTCTCCAAAAGATTGTGCTAAGGAGAACATGAGATCCCTGAAGGGAAGCCAGCTCAGCCTTTCAACAGCACCTCCTGTAGAATGGGGCTAATGAATGGACAGGGGAATAACAAGAAAAGTATTTTTCCCAGGGGACCTGGGGATTGAAGCACAGCAGGAGCAAAGCATTGGAAATAGTGGAAGGAGAGTATCAGGAAAACTGGAATTACTGAACCTCTGGGAAGGAGGGTTCTGAAGCACTGCAGGAAAAGCAGGAGAAGGAAGCAGGCTGGAAACAGAAGGAAAGATGCCATATGCAAAAGGATGCTATGAATAAAGAAGCATTAAGATTCAGTCTAAACCTTAGGCTTAATCCTAGTCTAGTTAGTCTAATCTTAAACTGATTTTTAGCCAAAAAACTGTAGATAAATGAAAAATGATGGCCTGGATGTACTTAAACAAAGTTGACCTGCTGCTTGTTTATGCTTATGCAACCAGCCGTGGAGTATTTATTCAAAATAACCTTGTGTTTTTAAATCCTAAAGTTCTCATTGTTCCTTAAGATTTATTTCCATCACCTTTGTTCCTTCTACTCTGAGCTCAAGAGCCTTGGCCAGTACTCAGCTTTCCTAATCTACTCAGTTTGTCCCTAGTTAACGGTAAAGAATTGAGCCTCTAATTGACCTTTTGAGTGCTCAGTGGACAAAAATGTGCAAGTGTAAGAGGCAGAACTTGTGTGGAAGATGAGCTTAGATCTGTCTTTTTATGATAAACCAACACTCTGTATTTTTTTGTTGCAGACAGGTAGGAGGTGTGTGTGTTGCGTGGGAAAAATCAGCAGTCTCATAGACCATCACAGTGGCATTACAATAGCAATTTCTACAGTCATTTGTGTTCTGCATCCTTCTGCTGAAGCTCTGAGCTGTTAATCTTTAGCCTGTAAACATTGCTTCCTTTTGCACCCATGAGGGGAAGGTAGGAGCTTGCTTTCATCCTCGGTTTGGGGCTGGAATACTGAGGCTCATGCACAAGATGCTTAATAAAACTTCATATAAAATGTCGTTTACCTGCTTCTCAGAGGGTTTTTGAGGTTTAATTAGATTTGTAGTCTTACCTCTTTGATGGCCAAAATGTTATCTGTCTATGCTTTCTCACAGTCTGTCTGGCAGTAGATTGCAGTCCTTGTCACATCTGTTTTGACGGCATGCAGAACTTACTGGTGAGCCGGGTTGCCTGGCTTTAATCATGTATCATAAAGGGGTATAAAACTGTCACATACCTTTGCTAATTATAATGTGCTCTCAATTAATTTTGGAAGTGGAACCTCGCTGAGAGCCCTTCTAACACACAATTTAACATAGTCTTAAGTTGATTTGCTTATTATTCGGGGGGGGTGGAGAACCAGATAAATAATTCCGTAGGATTCTGTGATTCTTGGTTTTTAAGTAGAGCACTGTGTTTTGCAGCTTTCCTTTGGTTTTGATATTCTTTATGACAGACTTGCATACGAGAGAGACTGTTTTTCACTCGGTTTGATGGTTAAGGAGTCTTGACTGTCTTGTAACTTACAACTTCCTTTAAGGATATAATTTCACTACTGCGGTTATTCAGTGGGATGCCGTATGTTAGTCTCCAAATTGTTATTTATCATAATCACAACAGTTGGGAACACTCTTTGTTGACCTGATTCTTAACACATTAAGCATTGTAGAAGCACAGGACTTAGAAGATGGTAGCCTGCATTTCTGTTTTCCAGCATCTTTAGCAATGACCCAATAGCTGTCCTTGTTTGGCAACAGGCAGGCAAAGCATTTGCCCAGAACAATTTCTCTCTTTCTCTTCTCTCTCCCTTCTGATCCAAAATATTTTTGTGTCATAACCTGCAGCTTTTGTTGTTTTGTAAATGCTCTTAATAGTGTTCACGTAGCATCCATACCATCGAAGTACTAACCATAGAATAACTGATACTCTTGAAGCCTTTTTCTATGATCTCTCTTCCCAGTCTTATGTTATAGGCACAATTTGGTTTGATGTCAGTGAGTTTACCCATATGTTTTTCCAACCTTTAGAATTTGAGCACAGACCTCGAAGTCTCTATATTTCTTTTAATTGTTTCAAAATGCACCTGCCTGGAAAGCAGGGAGTGGCAAGGTAGAGAACTCTTTATAGAATTTGGGGTTTGTACAGCAAATTTTTAGAGCTGTTTTTAAAAGCAGTCATGTTTGGTTCAGAATCTCTCTTGATACAAATTGGGCAGCTGCATAGTCCCTAGGGACTGCCACTTTACTTCCAGCAGGAAATGTGACTTGATGACTTGTATCAAGACAGGAAGATCAGAGCTTCAGCTAACAGCAAAGGCCACAGCAGGAGCCTTCTGCAGCTGTTTTAAAGTCAGAAGTGATGGTGTGACATGGATGTGCACACTCAACTAAAATAATCCAGAAAAAAGCTCCCACTGTTCGACATTTCTTTAGGTGAAACAACAGCTCCGTTGTTGCATTTTAGCTACTTTTCAATGCGATGGCATAAAAAATTTCAATGGCTTCATCGTGCTTCTCACTGGGAAATGTTTTACATGCTACTGTCTCTTGAAAGAACATTTTAATTACTTTTCTTATAACATGTGTCACTTTTTATTTTTTCAACATGGACAAAGGTGCAAGAAAGTGAGGAGAGGAGCAAAACAATCTCGCAGCTCTTGCTGTGCCCCATGAGACTTTGCTTCTTTAATCTTGGAAGTCTGGTCCATCATGGTTACTGAAAGTTAGATAATTGACTCACGGCACCACAGAAAGCCTTCGCTTACTCAAGAACCTCAATTATTATTCTTTTTTTTATTTGCTCTCCTAAAGCACTGGAATTTTTTTCTTCCCAAGTGGATGTTTTTTGTGCCCACCTTCAGTTCTTTCTGGATCTGTAAACTAACCTTGGAGTCTTTGGCCTGTAGTTTGTGCTTGCTTTGCTCTAATGAGGACTTTCCCTAACTTCCTCTCTGCCCTCATTTTTCTGAATTACTTCTCTCCTATCCTTATTTGAGGCATTGAGACTCCCACTGTGATGACTGAAGAACTATATTCCCTCTCTGTTGAACTGACAATCCAGAATACTGCCTCTACTCTTACTGATTTTCTAATGCTTGTTCTGTAATCAGGTATTCGAGTGATCACCAGAAAAAGATAAGGGATAATCTGAAATCGTCTTACCCATCTGGGCAGAATGCCTGCTTTTGTGTTTAATAGCTCTGACTATTTCACTTCTTGTTTTTGCTTTG